TAAGAACACAGACCTGTATATATATATATATAAAACAAACCTGTGGGCGTTCAAAGGACTGATTGATAATTAAGTGCTTGTAATTATCCCACTGAGTTACTACAGTTGTATTTGGTCTTTTTGTTTTGAATCCCTGTGCGTTTAAAGTTGCAGACAATGAAAATAAACCTATGAAAAGAGAAACCCCGAGCGAGGAAAAAAAAGACATCTGTGCATGCGGGCGTGCGTGTCTGTGTATCTCCTCTCATTAATGAGGGATCCCCCCACCGATCCTCCCACTCCTCTTCTCCCCCTCCCTGCCTCTCCCCCTCCCTCCTCCCTCCTTACATCCTAGGCTGTGCGCTGCAGCGGCCGCAGAAAGCGGCGCGGATCCCGGTGTGCGCTCTTCTCCGGAGGGGGCGTTCGGTTCGGATAATTCCAAGTTGTACTTTCAACGGAGTGAATCTCTCCTCGTTTAGACACAAAGCAGAGGAGTTTCCACGCGCTCAGCTGGGGTTTCCGATTCCCTCCCCCCAGGTAAGGTCATTTTGAAGTTTTCTCCACTCACTCCGTCCGCGCATCGTCACTCCGCTCCTCTGGAGGTTCTGCAGTCTGTGCTTAATGAAGAGTGGTGGCACAGGTGGAACCACACACAGAATAAACAAACAAGTAGCTCTTTCTGATCGTGTCTCCGCGCACATCGTCTCTTTCTCTTCATGAGCTGGAAGTTTAGTTACTCAGCTTCATGTGAGCCTCCTCAGTCTGGCTGAATGGCCGCCTGAGTAGGTGGCTGGTTTTATTGCATGCTTTATTTCGTTGAATAAATCAAATGAAAGCGCATATTTTAGGGCGCAAAATGTGCGTAAAAGCACGGCCAGCTGCCCCAGTTGCGTCTTTACGCACAACCAACTCCGTCCAAAAAGTTCAGGGTGGACTTCGCGTCTGGAAGCTCAGATCAGAAAGCCAGTCTCTCCGTGAGATCCTGCTAAAAACTAACTGCGGAGGATATTTTTGCATGCTGGAAAATTCACAAATATTCACCTCGACATTTAAGACACAACTTTTATTTTCGACACAAAAACTAATTAAGATACACAAACCAACATGTAAACATTCTAACTTCGGTTCTTGTTAAAGTGAAAGATTCAATCAAGAAAAAAAGAGCAAGATAAATTTCTTACTTTAACCAAACCATTCAGGTTGTGATCTATTGTTCATCAAAAATGCAAACTCATCAGTTTTGCTAAAATAAAAAAAGTATTCTCAGAGCTCTCTTAATCAGCTTTTGTGTAACTTTTACCACTTAAATGGTTTCCTTACAGCCCCACAGAGAAGCTTTGCCCGAGTAACAACTTTAAGTGAAATCTCAGCACTCTTTCAGCTGTGTCCAAATCTGTAGTCCATGCAAACGTGCTGTGGCACTCTGCTGCAGCCTCTGGTGGCTGGTGATAAACGCTCTGAATGCTGGAGCTGCTGCTTATAGGGAGGAGGCTCGGTGACCGTTTTGATTAGGGGATAATAAACCCATTTATGGAGGGCTTTCAGGTGACGCAACTTCCAGGAGCAGCCAAAAAAAGGCAGAGTGTTTGTATCTAAGCTCATATTTCTGAGTTCCACCAATCTAATCACAAACTGCAGTGAGGAAGCGGGGACGTTTTCCCTCCTGTAAATTGATCATGTTTGCAGGGGATAAAAGCACCACAGAGGGGACTTTTTGAGCGAGACAAATGAAGTATCTTAATGTCCTCAAAGATGTCTTTTTTTAACAAGGAAATAAACGGAGAGAGTTGCAATTTTAGAGCATGAACCACTTTTGATTCATTTTGAGTTAAATAGAAAAAACAGAATTTGTATTGATGGCTTTAATATTTTTTTACTGTTGCAGCTCAGTTTCCAGGCGCTTTTAACCTTGTGTGACTTTTATCAGAAGAATGAAATCTACCAGAGCAAAGGAATAAATTTTGAAAATGTGTTAATTCCGCAGCATGAAAAGGTTTGTAGGAGTCTTTCTGTTTGGCTCATGCTGCTCAGACCACTTTCGCTGCCAGCGAATAACTGATTTGGTTATTCTAAGAAATCAGTTTAATTTTAAAAATGAATCCTTTTAAAAAAATGAGGGTTGCTCACTGAGCCAACACATTTGACAAATGGACTCTGACATTTCTAGTCAGAGTATTGTGATGTATGTGAAGTCTTTGTAACAGCGACACAAACTGGATCCGTCTCAAACATTTCCATATTAATTCCTTATTGATCTGCTGTCTGTCAGCAGAACTTCAAATAATCAGAAATTCTTCTGTTTGGCTGTTTAAGCTCACTACAAGATCGGAGAGCGAACCCAGTCACCGACTTTGGTTCTGCAGAATCCATCAGCGCTGTTTGAAAACTCAGTAACACCCTCCTCAGTTATAAGGGCACCCCTGTAACTGACTAACAGTTTGTAAGGAACTTATTAACTTTGTAACTTAAATAACAGACAGGGAATTTATTACACATTATTATCTGGACAGAGAAAATACAGACCCCCCCCCCCCCCACCCCCGATGTTAAATATTAAAGAGTTTCATGTTGACTGAGCCACTTTAGAACAAGACCTATTATTGTTGTTAAAATCATAGAATTATAACCTTAAAGTCAACAATATTGCACTGTTTTTAAAGCCTTGTACTTTTCTAAAATATTTCCAGTTCATGTTTATTTCAACATGAGTGCAACATTATTATTTACATTACACCCTTAAAACATCAGAATCTATGATGATTTCAAAGAAGAGTTCACGGCTATTCAAGCATTAAACAAAATAAAAAAAAATCAATATGAATAAAAAATAAATTAAAAAAGTGTTGCACTTTGTAAAAACATCTCTTTTGTCCTCTGCAAGGAAACAGTTCCGTCACAGCTTTATGAGAACAGGAGTTAAAGGGCAGATCTCCAATTCTTTACATCAGAATGTCCTTTTCTGCAATATTAAATATCAAGCAAATTAGTGCTCACAGATATCTAACCCTTGTGTATATAGATTAAATAAATATTGCACTGGTTTCTGCAAATTTGTTTTTCACAGTGTAACATAACTTTCTAATGATGACGTTATCTTTTAACCCTCAAAGAAATATTATCTGATTATCAAATGATCAGAAATATTCCCTAGACTTGCCTGCAACTGTATCACAATAAAAAAAAAAATCTGTACAGCTTTAGCACATTTGACATAGAAAACCTATTTTGACTTAATGAATTAAAATAATTTTTATGTTAAAAAATGCAGGTTTATTTCATATTACTTTCCTTTTCTTCCCTTTTAATTGTGGGCTCTGTGTATTTACTATCTTACTTTTAATGCTAAAATAAAACAGATTTCTATTGTTTGGGCATTAAAAGTGGTTATTTTGAAACTTGTTCTTGTTTTTTCACACACTCACCTGTTCCCCTCATCAGTCCTGGCTCCTGACTCTGCTTCTGACACCAAATCACATTTTAAATAATTCTCAGCACAAATCTCCCTTTTTACAAAACCTTCTGATCCTCGCCTCAGTTTCATAAATGTACTGAACCATCTTGCATCTCAGGACGCTTTTCATATAAAGCTGGTCTACACCATAGTCATTACACTATTATTCAGTCGAGGAATCTTACCTGCACACTCATGGCTGCTGCAAGATGCTTCCTGC